CCTTGTACTTGTCAATTTTTCCATGTTCATTGTATTTGGTTTTGTAAATCCATTTTACTCCAATTATTTTGGCACCAACAGGTGGTTCAGTGAGTGTCCATGTAAGATTCTTTTCAATGGATTTAATTTCATTATCCATGGCCAATTTCCAATTTTTACTCTTCACGGCTTCCTCGAAACTTAATGGATCGGTTGACACCATTAAAGCCAAGTGGGCTTCATCGTCGGACAAACCTTCGCCACTAACATAATCATTCATCCATGTAGGAGGTCGCCTCACTCTCTCTTCACCATCACTATCATCATTCACAATTTCTCCAACTCCCTCGTCACGGGTTTCACCAATCTCCCTGTCAATATTTGCTTCACTCTCATTTTCACTTGCCATTTCTTCCCACTCTAAATCTAGTACTGTTTGTTTTTCATTCCAATCCCATTTCTTTTCCTCCTCAAAGATAATATCTCTACTTATGACAACCTTTTTAGCAACCGGATCAAACAATTTATATCCTTTTGATTCTTCACTAACTCCTAGCAAAACACATGTAATACTTCTATTGTCAAGTTTAGTCCTCCTTGATTCTGGAACATGAGCGTGTGCTATGCACCCAAATACCCGAAAGTGGTCAACCGACGGTTTTATTCCACTCCAGGCCTCCTCTGGCGTTACATCCTTGACTGCAAAAGTAGGACACCTGTTTAGAACATAAACAGTCCAATTTACAGCCTCCGGCCAGAAGGTTTTTGGAATGTTTTTATCAGATAGCATGGAACGAACCATGTTCATAACAGTTCTGTTTTTCCTCTCAGCGACACCGTTCTGTTGTGGAGTATAAGCAGTGGTTAATTGCCTCTTAATTCCACTTTGTTTGCAAAAATCATTGAACTCGTTTGAATTAAATTCACCTCCTCTATCAGTGCGTAGACACTTAATAGGCATCCCAGCTTCCTTCTCAACCATGATTTTAAAGCATTTAAAAGAATTTAAAGCCTCAGACTTTTCTACCAAGAAATACACCCATGCTTTTCTACTATAATCATCAATGAATAATAGGATGTACCTTTTGTTGCTGTTAGATATGGGACTGATAGGACCACAGATGTCTGAATGAATGAGTTCTAGCTTTTGTGTTGCTCTCCAATTACTCTTCCTTGGAATAGAGTCACGATGTTGCTTTCCGTTGATGCAATCAGCGCATGTCACAGTGGAGATGGAGAGTTGAGGAAGTCCACGAACCATGTTTTTGTACAACAAAGTTTTCAAGCCTTTATAACTTAGATGTCCATACCTTCGGTGCCAGAGATGCGACAATTCTTGAGATTTAGTGTGAAAGCACTGATCAGATTGTGTTAGTGGAGAGGATTGAGTTTGGGGCAGCAAGATAAACATCCTATTAGCACTCATGCTGGTTTGAATAATCAAGCCCTTCTCTGGATGAAATATCTTGCAACTTCCTCCCTTGATCAAAATCTCCAAATTCTTTTCTTGCAACTGCCCTATACTTAAGAGATTATTTTTCAATTCTGGAATAAAGTATACTTCAGTAACAACAAGGTTCATTCCATTTAGCAGTAATTTCACACTTCCTTTTCCCATCACATCCATCTTAGTGTTGTTTCCAAATTTTAAAGAATGTCGGAATTTTTCATCAAATTCATTGAACATAGTTCGATCACCGCACATATGATTGGAACATCCTGAATCAAGGAACCATGCATCTTGTCTTTTAGCTTCATACAGCTCCTCATAAGACATCAAAAGCATTTCCGTTTCTTCATCAAATTCTGCATAATTAGCTTCATTGTTGCGAGGACATTCATAACGAAAATGTCCAAGTCGATGACATTGGTAACACTCAATAGTCGCCTTGTTGAAATTCGTTCGACCTCTACCTCTTCCCCTTCCTCTGTAACCAGCTCGACCACGACCTCTTCCTCCTTCATATGTAACTTTCAAAGCTTGTTCTTCGCCACTGCGTCTTTGGAACTTCTGTTCATGCACTATTAAGGAGCTTTGTAACTCATCGATAGAAAGATCATCGATATCCTTTGACTCTTCAATAGAACAAACAATATAGTTAAACTTCTCCGTTAAAGAGCGTAAAATCTTTTCAACCACTTTAACATCTGACATATTCTCCCCGTATATTCGCATTTTATTTGCCACTGCCATGACCCTAGAGAAGTATTTTGTTATACCTTCACTAGATCTCATCTCAAGAGTTTCAAATTCTTTGCGGAGAGCTTGAAGATGAGACCTTTTGACCCTTGCATTTCCTTCAAACTTTTTCTTCATAGCATCCCATATATCTTTAGAAGTATCCTTCTTAAGGATGGTGTCAAGCACAGTTCGATCAATCGCCTGAAAGAGATAGTTTTTCGTTTTGAGATCCTTCAACTTCATCTCATCGTTCTTCTTTCGTTGTGTTTCTGTCAGTTCCACGCCACTTGCTGGCTTAACATAGCCAGGCTCGATTAGCTCCCAATATTCCTTTGATCTGAGGAAATTTTCCATTAGCATACTCCAATGATCATAATGACCATCAAACCGCGGGATTGCGGGTTACACAAAGCTCCCTTCTGTAGTCATTTTTCTTTTGCTGCTGCAAGGATATCAAAGACTGCCGCTTTGATATATCAGGCCCAGTGGGGGCTCTGATACCAAATTGTTGAGAACTTTTATGTATATTGAAACTAAAAGTAAGAACTGAACAAATTGGACTGAATGACCCTCTTTATTAACTGTAGTATTGGCTTAAATAAGCCATTGAATACAAGATGGAAATAATAACTGAAACAATCAACTATGCTAAAATAAAGGCTAATAATGCTAAGTGGTTCCTAAAATTAAGGAAAGCAGAATACAACTAAAAGACTAAGTCAGTCCTATAAAATAGGACTTTTATTCTAACTTAAAATTAAGCAGTAACTTTTTCAGGACCACTGCTCCAAAGCATTTGAAGAGAAAAAAGAGAAAAGACCATGAGGATTAGGTTGTCATTGAAAGGATTAGTCCACGTCTTCTCATCCTTTCAAAAGATATTTATCAATGTTCCACACACAAAAAAGTGTTGACAAAATATTTTATATGTTGCTTGAGTAATGTGTTTTAGTTTAAGCATAAAAATGAGTGGTAAAAGTTGGTTAGATTCAAATCAAGAACAATGCATGTAATGAATTAAGTGAGCAAGTGAATGGAATAAAAACAATTCTGATTTTTAACCCATTTTTCACTTGATTTGAATCATGTACAATGTCAGATTCGAATCAGAGACCCCGTGAACGGAGTCATGTATAAACTGTGATTCGAATCAACTACTCCACACCCTTAGAAAAATGTTGGAAAATTGTGTGATTCGAATCATGTGCAAAGTGTGATTCGAATCAATTTGGGAAGAGGTGATAAAAAAATTGCTTGATTCAAATCATGTGCAAAACTACAGGTACACCTAAAAGCATGTTAACCTTAGGTGCGCATACTACATTACTAGCTCAAATTGAATTATTAAACAAAAAGTTAGCTGAAAGAAGCTTAAATCAAGCTAACGTGATTCAGATACAAATATTAAAATGTCATTTTTACGGAAAGGACATGCAAATGAAATTTGTTCTACAGAAGGCTCGAGTGAAGAAGCATAGTTTGAAAATTTGCTGAAAATTAATCCTTACTCAAACACCTACAATCTAGATTGGAAAAATCATCTAAACTTCAAGTGGAGCAACAATAAAAAATTTAACGTAAATCAGGATACTCAACAACCACAACAACCTCCATTTCAGAGGAAACCTTCACCCCTTGAAGAGACTCTCAACAAGTTCATTCAAGAAACTCGAATCAGTTTTGGACAGGTAAGCATACAACGTGAGACTGTGAGACCATGAGTAAAAACCACGATGCATTCATAAAAAAATTATAGATGCAGATTGGTTAACTGACCCTCCAGGTGGCCGTTATACCTAGTGCTAGCGGGGGATTTATTGATAACACAATTGACAATCCTAAGAATGAAACTTGTAAAGCCTTAGAATCAGGATTTGGAGTGAACACAAACCTGAGAGATGATGAAATAGTTAAAGAGGTTATGTCACAACCATGAAACATGATTTTAGGGTTTCTAACTCAGCAAAACACAAACCCAATCAACCATGAGACACAATGATAAATTAGTTTTAACTCTTACTGCACAATAAGGAAGAAACTAACCCCAATTAAATCCTAAATGGCATGCATTTTAACTCTTATCTTTCAAATTTAAACCACATGTACTACCATGTCACCTTCTATTACTCATATATAATGTTAGGGGTCAAAAATGTGGACGTCCAATATTAGGAGGATGATTCTTTTACAAAAAAAATTAAAGGGACGAAAAGCAAAAGTATTTAACTTGACCGGAACTAAAAACATATTTAACCCTTAAATTACTTGTTGATTGATAGGTATTCAATCAAACTTCGCGATATTGGAGTGTTCACCTCAATCATTCTACATTTAAATTATTTAAAAATTTGATCAATTAAATAAATCATGCTATCAAGTATATATTATATCTTTAAAATGTACATAATTATATTAGTCTTAAAATGAAACCCAAGAAATTTACATAATTATATAACAAATGTACATAATTATATTAACCCTAAAAATGTAACCAAAGAAAATAATAGCCTTAAAATATAGATATGCATGTCAATTGAAAAAAAAAAAAAGACCAAAATGATGGGTTTGTTATTAACAACCTAACAAAAATTCTAGTTACAAGTTCATTCATGCAACAAAAGTAGTGTTTACTAAATATAGTATGAAGTTGACATAATATTGGGAAAAAAACTCAATGAATCAAACCTGTTCAAACGTTTCTTCACCTTAATTTGATTTTCATCAACCTTTTTTTTTTCTCTCTCTCTAGATATTGTTCCATTCCTTCATCTTTCTTGTAACATTCTCATAATCCTTATTTTCTTCTCTTGATATTGGCACCCCCTCTTTCTCCCATGCAATGGGAGACCATCCACGCTCCCCACCATTGGATTTACATAACTTCTTTAAAATTCCAAAAACTAAATCCTTGAAAGATGTTAGCAAGGTTTGCAAAACGTTTGTATCCAAAAAGCATAATGAGAAGAAACAAATTGAGGTAATAATCTTAATCAATATGTATATTTTACACATACATTAACATGCATGTTCCTATTCTTCATTTTGAAAGAAAACACATAATTAATTGATCTACATGGAAAAAAGCTACCTAGTTTTGAGGTAACAAGTTTTATCATTTATCCATAGGAAAAAAATTCATAAACATGCACTCTTATTGAATATCAGCCATAGCAATGCCATGGCGAATATTCATGGTTGTATTTTAGTTTGGTGTAATTATAAATATTAATTAATATTGTGAGTTTTTGCTCTATAATTTATGATAATGGTGTCAAAAAGCGTCTGGTACAGCGGAAATTTTCTTATACTTTGGTGCATGCAGGGACCAACAACACCGTCGACTTTATTTTTCGATAACAATGAAAAAAGAAGAGCGGATGGAGATATTTGGAGCCCAAAAATGGTGGCAAGATGTGAAAGTAGAAGATCAAAAACTCCGAATCCAAGAACAAGGCCTCTATCAAGACATGGAAGCAGAAGATGCACAACACCGATGTCATTAACGCGAAGTGAGAGTCGAAAAACTGCAACAGAAATTGCTACATCATCTCTCAAACGGATCATGAGCAGAAGGAATAGCAAAATGGATATTTCTGAACCCGAGTTATTGCCTAACTCCGCAACTTCTCCAACCAGTGATTTCGCTTCGCGAAGTTCCAAACAAAAAGATCGTATCCATTCAGTTTCTCTCTCGAATAATCTTGGCCGTAGATCAACAACACCTATCATATTTTCACAGACAACAACGAGAAGAAAACCACCAGAAGTTGAGAAAAAACTTCAGTTTTCACTCGAGGAATTGTGCTTTGGATGCGTCAAAAAGATTAAAGTTACTAGAGATGTTATCAAACATCCCGGGTATGTTTCCTTTAACGTGTATATTTGAACGTAATTTAATAGTTGACCGACGGTTTAAGTTTTTGGAGATCCTGAAACCATAATTTAACATTGACAAATATTTTATAAGGCCTCTTTAACTGCAGTTTAATCGTGAAAATTTTTTAGAATTGTGTGGCCGGTCTGACACACTCTCAAAAACGACTCTAGTAACTGATATAGATGAAATCTACTTAGAAGGACATTACTAACTAAATTTTGTAACAGGGTGATTGTTCAAGAGGAAGAAATATTGAAAATAGAAGTGAAGCCAGGATGGAGAAAAGGAACAAAGATTACATTTGAGGGAGTTGGTGATGAGAAACCTGGTTACTTACCAGCTGATATAGTGTTTTTGATTGATGAAAAGAAACATCCATTGTACAGAAGAGATGGAAATGATTTGGAAATTGGTGTTAAGATTGCTCTTGTAGATGCACTTTCTGGATGCTCCATACCAATTCCTTTGTTAGGAGGGGAAACCATGAATATATCATTTGAGAATACTGTCATATACCCTGGTTTTGAGCAGGTTATAAAAGGTCAAGGAATGCCGAATCCGAAAAATAATAGCACAAGAGGTGACTTACATGTCAAGTTTCTTATTAACTTTCCCACAGATTTGAGTGATGAACAAAGGAATGAAGCTGTTACTATTCTACAAGATTGTTGCTAATGATGAGCATAGTCTGTAAATTGTATGTAATGTAATGTGCTACAAATTAACATGATAGAGAACAAGACATATTCTACAATCAGTTCATAAAAGTTTCTGGTATCATGCATGGTCGGGCCGATAACTTCTTGCGACCCAAGGCGTTAATGGGCTGCAAACTCGCTGAAGCGCGACAACAGCGCACACATTTCGTGGCCAAAGAATGAAGTTGGTTTGGTTTTCATATGAAATGATGTTGTCTTCAATGGTTTAGTTTTCATAGAAACTTGCTGATATTGTCTGAAAAAGTGGGGATTAGAGAATGCGACTCAATATTGTTAGCACTAATCACTAGGTTACTGATTCATTTATAGAACATAGATTTTAACTTGCAATATACAATTATTTGAGGAGATAGATTTCTCCAAATATGAGTTATTCATCTTAAACAATGGTTGACAAATGTAAAAAGTTTGTAACAGTCTCTGTTTCTTAGAGCTGGGAATTTGCTCATGCAAATATACATTTTCCATATTTTAGCAAAACAAAACATGAAATGGTTCAGTAACTTATTTCAAACAATGATCCGGGTTCAGTAGATGCAGAAGTTCTCAACATTTCTTGCAGATATAGCAAAATAATAAATACCTTTGTTTAGAGAAGTTGAGTTCCAAATTATAGCAACAAAATGTTTGTTTCAGAAGAATCATACTATCTTGTGTACCTAGTTTTCTTGTTTGCACCAATTCTGTGTTTTTCTTGGTTAAAATATTTTCTTAATCTTATCTTCTGAATGGTATTTATATTTTACTCTGAACATTGATTGTTCCATCTAGCCTGTAACAATAAGAGACAAAACTTACATGAATAATGAATTTCAGCAAGTAGAAAGCAAAAAACTAAAGAATATACATGATTTCGGTTTTATTTTCATTTGGAACAACGAGAAAGCAATCGGGCCACCTATATATTATCAAGCATAAAACCAAAAAATAATATACACCATTCCTTCCTGTATTAAAAGTTCTCCATTCAATAGAAAATTTTCATCATTGTCTGTCACTCTCCTGATTCTCACTGTTATCATGCCTAGGAGCTTCGGTATAAACTTGTCCTTGGTCCCTCGCATCTCTGAACATGGAAAGAAATGAGCTGAGGCCTTCAGATGAAGCACCTCCTAATATCCATAATAGCATAGAACTAAGATTCATGGATCCAGGGTTGGGACCCCTTTCAGCTTGCCCAGGAATATGTGCAGGGTTACTTTCTGACTGTCCTTGAGGCTCAGTAACTCCTGTTCCGTTCTGAGGCATTGATTGATCAAAACCAGGTCTGAACCCTGTCCCAGAAGGCATATTTGTGGCATTTACTCCCTGGTTCCTTGTGTTCAGTCTTGTGATGTGTAGTGTTGATGCAAGAATAGTAGATGAGGTAATATGGAAGTCTGGGTGTTGTTGAAGTTGTGACCGTCGATTTTGCACAAACCTTTGCAATGCTGGTACCTAAATAAATACCAGTAAACATAGAAGAGGTTGAAATTCAATAGGTATCATTAAGCAAATCCATAATGAAATGAACAGAAAGAAAGCTTCTACAAAGTAATAACTATAAAAAATGATTTCTCAAATATTTCAAACAAGCCGAAATGATAAGCATCAAGTTTAATACAACTACCTTAAAGAAAATATTGAGCTTTTATAAGCTAGTTACTATTATTACCTCAAACCGATTCCAAAAATAGAGGATAAGGTGTTGCATAAAAGCTGCAGTTGTAGAGAGAGCCAAATATGAAAACCCTGGAAATTTTGAAAAGTCCATCATTTCCAAATAAGATTAATTTAACTCTACAACACCTAAAAATTGAAGAAATAAAGTATCAACATACCATAAGCATAAGAGAAGAAATATATGTGAAAGACCAAAAAATACAGCAGAAAGAAGCGGGGGAAGAACTTCATTGATATTGGTGTTCGGACACTGCAAGTTACAGTAAAGAGTCATTAAATGATCATAGATAACATTATATGTGTGGATGAAAGTGTAAACTGCTAGACTGATCATACACCAAGTAGACACAATAGAGAGAGAGATATACCTAATAAGAGTAAATAGCTCACACAACCAGACAAGAATCAAGACCATAAAAGCAAGAAGCTGATCATCATAAAACTCAAAAAGGAAAAACAGAATGCCAATCATAATCTGCAGAAATCAAATAAGCAATTTATCAGCAAAGCAAATACAATAGAAAATAACATAAATCACAGGCAATTCAAATGAATAATTTCGACAAATAAGTGCTTACAGGAACAAAGACCAGTGATTCAATGACATGTACAAAGATCAACTGAAATGTAGGAAGGTGATGTCGAGCATGGTGTTGAAGCTGTACTGTAAAGAGTAGAGACTAACAAATGTGAAAAGCTAACCCCACATGTGCAAAAAAGTACAGAAAAACCATGAATGGCTGTGCCAGATGACTTTATTCTTATAGTTAGCACACTTTATGCAATTATTTGGTCAACAAAAGACCTCGAGGACAAACCTGCCAATGATAAAGTGCTACACTCCTGAACAGTCATGACTATCTAATAACTGCCTATGAATTTATTTAAATTGGATTTGAAAGTGAGTCTAAGTACCTGAGTCTATTAGTTTGTTACCAACAGTTTGTTTGTTAGGAAATTTTAGGATGAGTCAGTTAGAGAGGAGTTATAGTAAATAATAAGGGGGATTAATTGATAGAACCAACTGGTAATTATAACTGAAAACGGGGAAGAATCCCCTTTGATTACAAACAATGGCAGCACTTCGAGGGTCTGCCTACCTCCCAATGCCAAAAGGCACTATTACTCTCAAATACCAGTTCTATAGAAAAGACATTTCAAGTCAATGCCAAAATTTGAAATGTCACAGACAAAAGACTAATATGTTGGTCAGGGAATCTAAAGCAACACCGGTTTCTCTCTCTTAGATAGACATAGGGTATTTTGATGTCAATAGCAAGAGGAAGACAATGTCTTAGAATGTGTGGGTTGGGCCTAACTCAACCCTACAAAACCGGTTTGTAAGACGAGGATTGCCCCCACTTATAAACACATGTTCAGGCAGAGTTGTTAATAGCGTCCATAGCGGTCGCTACCGCGGCGCTCCAGACCGGAGCGGGGTCCTACCGCGCGCGCACATGGGTGCAGTGGCGGAGAGGATCGCGGACGCTATCGCCGCTAGACCAGGTCGCGGATAGCGGGCATCTACCAGGTGGCGCGGATCTGGTCTGCTATTTTTTTTAAAAAAAATTTGGACAAAATTACCTTTTTACCCCTGTTTTAAAATAGTTTTTAGAACAGATTTCTATTTCTCATATTCTTCTTCGTGCCCTATTTCCTCCTTGTGCCCTATTTTTCCATTTTCTGCTTCTCTGCCGTTCTAGCAAGCCTTCTTCTACTTCTCCGTTCCACTTCTCCGCCGTTCCAGCAGCAGCCAGCAAGCCTTCTTCTACTTCTCCGTTCCACTTTTCTGTTGTTCCAGCAGGCAGCAGCCAACAAGCCTTCTTCTACTTCTTCGTTCCACTTCTCCGTTTCACTCTCAGCCAGCCTCAGGTAATATACTTCTTTCGTATTGTGTTGTGTTTTCTCATCTTTGTTTCACTCATCTCTGTTTCACTCTCTGTTTTCTCATCTCTGCTTCAACTCTCTGTTTCACTCTCTATTTTCTCATCTCGGTTTCACTCTCTGTTTCTACTTTTATTTCTTTTCTAGAAAAATATGGCAGCTTCTTCATCGACACCAAATTCTGCATCGGTTGCTTCATCTGCTCCAACGTTCAAACCAACCAATAGTAAGGACATAGGATGGAAATACAATCATTTGAAGGATTTGAATAACAAGAAGAATGTGACATGTGATTTTTGTAATTTAACCAGCAGTGGGGAAATAAGTAGAGCCAAAAGGCATCAATTAGCAATTACCGGTGATGTAATTTCTTGCACGAAAACACCCGAGGATGTTAAGGCTATATTACGTGCTGACATGGTTGAGAAAGAGAGAATTAAGAAAGGAATACAAGAGGTTTCAGTGCAATTAGATGCGGATGATACCATTGATATTGAGGAAATACGTAGAGTTCAAACCGGAAAGAGGATTGTTGAGAGTGAGACCTCTTCAATGGCTGTCAAGAGGACTAAGGGACCGTGGGATTTGGTGTATAAGAAGAGTAAGGACACAAGCATCAATGATGCGTGTGATAAAGAAGCAAGGGCAAGAACCATCCAATATGTTGGTCGCTTTTTTTATACGTGTGGAGTTGCTTTTAAAGTAGCAAATGCAAGAGCTTTTAATTTGATGTTGGAAGCCATTGGAAGTTATGGTCCTCATTTGAAACCGCCAAGTTATCATGAACTCAGGGTTCCAATCCTTCGAAATGAGTTGGAATATACAAAAGGTTTGTTGAAAAACCAAGAGGTGCAAAGGAATAAATATGGATGTTCAATTATGTCGGATGGTTGGACGGATAGAAAAGGTAGAACATTGATTAATTTCTTGGTCAATTGTCCGACGGGGACCATGTTTGTGAAAAGTGTTGATGCTTCTAACTATGCCAAGACGGGGGAAAAGCTAGCCGAGTTGTTGGACCCTTTTATTGAGGAAATGGGTGAAAAAAATGTTGTTCAATTGATTACCGACAATAGAAGTAATTATGTAGCGGCGGGTAAAGAATTGTGTTTGAAGAGGCCTCACATGTTTTGGACTCCATGTGCTGTCCATTGTATAGACCATATGTTAGAAGACATAGGCAAAATTCCAAAGGTTCAAAAGGTTATACAAAAAGGGGTTAAGGTTGTGGGCTACATTTATAACCATGCTTTTGCTTTGAATAGAATGAGAAAGACTACCGGTAATGTTGAATTGGTTAAACAAGGAGTGACAAGGTTTGCTATCCATTTCCTTTGTCAACAAAGGATGCAAGAACTAAAAGGCAATCTTAGAGAAATGTTCCTTTGTGAAGAATGGACGAGTTCCAAGTGTGCCAAAGATGCTAAAAGACAAAGGGCAGCTACTACTATACTTACGACATCATTTTGGAATGATGTTCTCTACACTCTTAAGTGCGTGGCGCCTCTTGTAGATGTGCTAAGAATGGTTGATAATGAAAGAAAACCCGCAATGGGATACATATATGCCGCAATGGGGGTAGCGAAGGAATCAAATGAGAAAGCTTTTAGTTCAAATTCAAGCAAGTACAAAGCTGTATTTGAAATCATTAAAGATGGGAGTGTCAACTTCATCATCCGCTACATTCTGCAGGTCACTATCTCAATCCTAAATATTATTATTCTAAACCAGAAATTGAGAATAATGGTAGATTGGTGAGAGGCCTCCGTAAGTGCATTGAGACACTTAGTGAAAGTTATGCAGTGGAAGATTTGATTTCAGAACAATTGTCACAATACAGGGGTGCTACGAGTCTCTTTGGTATAAGAGCGGCAATTAGACAAAGGTCGACATTAGCTCCAGGTAAGATGGAATGCCTTTTTGATTTTTTACATATGATACACTTTGTGTTATGTATATGGAATGATTTTTTACAATTACTTGCAGCTGAGTGGTGGAAGTCTTATGGAGCCGAAACTCCAGAGTTGCAATTGTTGGTTGTTAAAGTGTTGAGTTTGAGTTGCAGTGCTTCCGGATGTGAGCGTAACTGGAGCATCTTTGAGCATGTGAGTATTAATTTTTTACTAGGATATTAAAGTATCTTACATGCAAGTATTATTAAATTAATACTTCAAATTATTGTATTTTAGATTCATTCCAAGAAGAGAAATAAATTGGAACATCAAAGATTGCAAGACTTGGTGTTTATCAGTATAATCAAGCTTTGGTAGAGAGGTTTGAAATTCAGGATAAAATTGATCCTGTGGAATTTAACGAAATTAATTTCCACACTGAATGGTTGGTGGGAGAGATGGAAAATGTAGGAGATGATGGTGAAGACTTAGTTTATCCAAATCATGATTTAACTTGGAGTCAAGTTGCCGATGCTAGTGGGGCTAATGAGCCTATAATCTACACTAAGTACTTCTCAAGCAACAACGGCACCAATAGCAACAATTTCACCAAGAGCAACAATGACACCTAGAGCACCAATGGCACAACAAGTGATGGAAGATGTTGAAGAAGTTGAAGATGAAGAATTGGAGGAAGATGTTGAAGAAGTTGAAGATGAAGAATTGGAGGAATATGTTTAAGAAGTTGAAGATGAAGAATTGGAGGAATATTTTGATGATGCTACATGATTTCTATGTTTGCTTGAATTTTCATATGATAGTACTAAGTTTGAATTTGAATCTTTATGTTTTGAATCTTGATTAAGCATTGTTCTTGTTTGACATTAGATTTTATAAATATTTTATGAGTGTTGTGAAATTAGTTTAGTATTACATGACATATATTTTATAGATTATTATATAATTATTAGTATACAGAAAGTTATCCCGCTATTCCCACTTTTTCCATTCCCGAGGGTCGGCCGCTCCACTATGATAGTACTAAGTTTGAATTTGAATCTTTATGTTTTGAATCTTGATTAAGCATTGTTCTTTGTTTGACATTAGATTTTATAAATATTTTAGGAGTGTTGTGAAATTAGTTTAGTATTACATGACATATGTTTTATAGATTATTATATAATTATTAGTATACAAAAAGTTATACCGCTATTCCCATTCCCGAGGGTCGGCCGCTCCACTATGCTATCCGGGATTAATAACTCTGTGTTCAGGCCATATATTGTCTGATGTGGGACTCTTAACACCCCCTCTCACGCCCAAGAATTGCGTCTGGAGCGTGGAACTAAATGGTGGGTGGCCCAATGGATCATAAATGAGGCTCTGATACCATCTTAGAATGTGTGGGTTGGGCCTAACTCAACCGGCTTGTAAGGTGAGGATTGCCCCCACTTATAAACACATGTTCAGGCCATATAGTGTCTGATGTGGGACTCTTAACACAATGCATCCCCTGCCTGAACTGCTGGACCTGGATCCATGACAACGACTAGTATCTAAGAAGCACAGATTGTAATCAAGCCATATAAATAGCAGCTACTAAGTTACTGCGGTAGTTCCAGGAACTTGAGAGCCTACAGGCATTTTACACAAACCTTCATCACAAAGAAGAAGTGAAAATAAATTGGGTTTGGGGTACCTAAATCATTAGCTTGCTCGGAATTATTAGGAATAGTTTATTAATGGAGAGGTGGGTTGAGATTTATATAAAATTATAAATAACAAAAATGTTTGAGAGGGAAAGTATAGGAGGTGCAGATATTTGAAATACATCTTTGCAATTGAGGAGTTTATCCCTATTTCTTAAAATAAGATACCATAATAGCAAGTAATTAATATATGGAGCAATGGGCTGAATAACATAACAGATGCAATGCAAGCAGAACTCCCTAAATCAGTTTAAATATACTGAAGCATCTGTATACAGAGCAAGTAATGCCTACCTGTAAACTTCAGCATGCGAGTCTGTGTTTCTCTCAATGTAAATGACACGGACATTGTGGTAGTAAAAAAAACAAATAAAGACATCATAAGCACGCCACACTTCGTTACAAGGTAGTCTGCACATGCAAAATAACACATAAAAGTTACAACGCAACAATAGAAGTTATGCAATAAGGACTATTTTGTTTTGTATAATGTTTTAGTGACTATTTTTGTTTTTTATGAAAAACTAGGGACTAAATTGTAGTGTTTTAATAGTTTAGGGACGAAATTGGTGAGAAAGTGATAGTTTAGTGACGAAATTGCAATATTATTGATAGAGACTTAGGTGAAGAAGTTGGGCTTGACTTTGGGCATAAGCCAAAAGTGTGGAGGGTTTATACTAAAAGACGTGGCAAAGGAATAAAGGAATAGATTGTAGGAGTTTGTTACGATAAAATAGGGAAGAGATAAAATAGGGAAGAGAGAGAGAGAGAGAGAGAATAATTATAGGAGTTGTTACTATAATTAATCCTATAATTAATGAGTTTGTTACTATAAAATAGGGAAGGAAGAGAGAGAATAATTAGCTAAGTTTATGACTATAAAATAGAGAGAAAATAAGGTATCTAGGTATTCTATTTTTTGATTTGAGAATCACTGTCTTGGTGAGGGAAGCACTGCGTGCTTAGGGGCTGATAGATATTCTCTATCAGTTTGTTATTTTCATCACCGTTACTTCTTTGTAATTGTTCGTCCGTAATAATACAATTACAACATTCTTTTACTATTCTATTCATATATTCATTGTTCACTCATATATTCATATAAGAACCCATCAATTGGTCCGACCTACCGGATTCAAAACGCACCCGTGACGGAGATTGTTCATGACAAGGATGGGTGACAGAATTGAAGCTTTGGAAACACAGATGGAGAGTGTGACAACAACATTGCAAGGGCTGGCTCTACAAATGCAACAGCACGCTCAGCCGATGCAACAACAAAGCTTGATTTTAACTGAATTGAGCAAGCAGATAGGTCAGAAGGGAGTGACTCAGGAGGATGACACCTCTGTTGGTCATTCATCACAGAGCGTGTCTCGCCTTGCCGGGAAGAAGGTGAAGCTTCCGGTGTTTGAAGGTGAGGACCCTGTTGCGTGGATTACGCGCGCGGAGATTTACTTTGATGTGCAAAACACTCCGGATGAGATGCGTGTGAAGCTGTCCCGTTTGAGCATGGAGGGTTCAACAATACATTGGTTTAACTTGTTACTGGAAACAGAGGATGACCTCTCTTGGGAAAAACTGAAGAAGGCCTTAATTGCGCGCTATGGCGGGCGACGCTTAGAAAACCCGTTTGAAGAATTGTCCACGCTACGTCAAACCGGAAACGTGGAGGAGTTTGTGGAAGCTTTTGAGCTTCTATCGTCACAAGTGGGTCGATTACCTGAGGAACAATATTTGGGTTATTTCATGAGTGGTTTAAAACCACAGATCAGAAGGCGAGTTCGAACGTTGAATCCTATTACTAGGATGCAAATGATGAGGATGGCTAAAGATGTTGAAGGTGAACTGAAAGAAGAAGATGACGATGGGGAACGACATTATGGGAAGAAGAAGGTTGTTTATGATTCTGGGGCCGAAGGGATTGGGCTGGATCCTCACCCAAATATCGTAATGGGTCAAATTCTAACCCTAAAGATATGACCCGATCAACTAATACGGGTTGGTCCAACCCGACTCAAAAAACGGGTTTGGTGGGTTCCATGCATAATTCCTCCTCATCGTTGCATTCAACAGGAAAGAAAATGGAAAACGATCGTCGCGCTAATTTTTCTGAGCGATGGAAAGGGGTTCGAAGCGTGCACAGTGATGAGATGGAGGAGAGAAGAGCTAAAGGGTTATGTTTCAAGTGTGGCGGGAAGTATCACCCTACTCTTCACAAATGCCCTGAAAGATCAATAAGGGTTTTGATTTGGGGAGACGGCGAGAGTCTAAACGAGGAAGGCGAGATCGTATCCATGGAGGCTCAGAATTCTGAGAGCAAAGAAGAAGAGGAAGCATGGGTGAGTATCGAACTATGAAAATTGAAGGTAAATTAGGGGATGTTGATGTGGTTGTTTTAGTGGATAGTGGAGCTAGCCACAATTTTATTTCTCCTAAAATCACTGCTGCTTTAGGCTTGCAAGTCACTCCTATGGCTGCAAAGAGCGTTAAGTTGGGAGATGGACATAGGGTGCTTTCTCAAGGGGTGTGTGAAGGAGTTAGTATAAATCTGGGTCCAATGGTGATAGTGGTAGATGCGTTGGTTTTGGATTTAGGGGGGCTGGATGTAGTGCTGGGAGTTTCATGGTTGAGTACTCTAGGGAAGGTGGTGATGGATTGGAAGGCTCTCTCTATGCAATTTTGGCATAACGATGAGCTAGTAATGTTACAAGGGCAGGGAGGGAAACAAGAACAGCAAGGTTTCCTCAACAATTTCTTGGAAGATAGACATGAGAGAAGGGGTGAAGTGTGGAGTTGGTCAAAAGGTGAAAAGAAGTTAGATGGTGCAGAAAAAAATCAAGAAGAGCTGAAAACTATGTTGAGTCAATTTCAGAGCATATTCCAAGAATACACAAGGCTTCCTCCCAAGAGGTCTCAAGTGCATCAAATCAAGTTGTTCTCAGATCATAACCCTGTTAATCTGAGGCCATATAGGTACCCACATCATCAAAAAGAAGAAATTGAAAGGCAAGTGTCCGAATTACTGGAAGCAGGTGTGATTCGTCCGCGTTTTCAAGCCCTGTTATCTTGGTTAAGAAGAAAGATGGAAGTTGGAGGATGTGTGTGGACTATAGAGCTCTCAACAAGGCTACAGTACTAGATAAGTACCCTATTCCCATAGTAGAAGAACTGCTTGATGAGTTATTTGGAGCCACAATTTTTTCTAAAAATTGATTTAAAATCTGGTTATCATCAAATTAGAGTAGCAGATGAGGACATCCACAAAACTGCTTTTAGAACTCATAATGGACATTATGAATACTTAGTAATGCCATTTGGGTTGATGAATGCCCCAGCAACATTTCAGGCCACTATGAATGACATTTTCAGACCATTTTTGAGGAAATTCGTATTAGTTTTCTTTGATGATATCCTAGTCTATAGTAAGAATATGTCTGATCATGAGAACCATCTAAAGCAAGTGCTGACTGTTTTAATGTCCAATTGTTTTGTTGCTAATCAATCTAAGTGCAAGTTTGGTTGCCAACAAATAGACTACTTGGGACACATAATTTCTGGCGCAGGGGTGTCAGTAGACCCTAAGAAGATTAGATGTATAGTGGATTGGCCTGAACCCAAAAATGTAAAAGGGGTACGTGGATTTTTGGGTCTTACTGGATATTACAGAAAGTTCATCAGGGATTATGGCAAATTGGCCAAACCTTTGACGGAAATGACAAAGAAAGATAATTTTAAGTGGGGTCCAGAAGCCTCTGCGGCTTTCAGCCAACTGAAGACAATCATGACCACCACTCCTGTATTAGCTCTGCCTAATTTTTCCCTACCCTTTGAAGTGGAATGTGATGCAGCCGGAAGGGGTATCGGGGCAGTTTTGATGCAAAACAGGCAGCCTGTAGCTTTTTTCAGCAAGGCTTTGTCTGATGGCAATTTATCAAAATTTGTGTATGAAAAAGAGCTTATGGCATTAGTATTATCTATACAGCACTGGAGACATTATCTCTTGGGGAAGCAATTCACTGTGTTTACTGATCACAAAAGCTTGAAACACTTCCTTCAACAAAGAATTTCCTCACCAGATCAACAATGTTGGTTAGCTAAGTTGCTTGGGTACCAATTTGAAGTCAAATATAAGCCAGGAGGTGAGAATAAAGTTGTTGATGCTTTATCCAGATGTTATGGGGATGTGGAAATGAATTCTATAGTCTCTTACCCAAAATGGTTGGAGGGTCAGAAATTGTTACAAGAAGTGCAACAGGATCTAGGAATTCAGAAGATCACTGCTGAATTGATGGCCTCACCAGATGCTAGGCCAGGTTATACTGTGCAACAGGGTACCTTATTTTATCATGGCAGGTTGGTCTTGTCCCCAAACTCTCCTTCAATCCCATTGTTGTTACAAGAATTTCACAGCACACCTACAGGAGGTCATTCTGGGTACCTCAGAACCTACAGAAGGTTGGCTGAGAATTTATATTGGGTGGGAATGCAAAGACAGGTCAGAGATTTTGTGAGAGCTTGTGACATATGCCAGAGACAAAAGTATGCAGCTACTACCCCAGGTGGTCTCCTACAGCCTCTTCCTATTCCCAATGCCATTTGGGAGGATTTGTCCTTAGACTTTATCACTGGCCTTCCAAAATCTAATGGTTATGCAGTTGTACTTGTGGTAGTGGACAGACTATCTAAGTACAGTCACTTTATCCTTCTAAAACACCCCTACACTGCCAAGTCCATAGCAGAGTTATTTGTGAAGGAGATTGTCAGACTCCATGGTATTCCTACTTCTATTATCAGTGATAGAGACCCCTTGTTTGTGAGTCATTTTTGGATGGAATTATTCAAGTTACAAGGTACCAAATTAAAGATGAGCTCTGCCTACCACCCAGAAACTGATGGGCAAACCGAGGTGTTAAATAGATGCTTGGAGAGTTATCTAAGGTGTTTTGCATCAGAACAGCCGAAGTCCTGGTGTCACTGGCTTCCCTGGGCAGAATATTGGTATAACACTACTTTTCATGTTTCTATTGGAAAGACACCTTTTGAAATGGTGTATGGAAGACTACCTCCCAGCTTGTTAAGATTTTTAAGCAACGAGACAAAGGTAGCTGTTGTGGCTTTGGAGTTAAGTGAAAGGGACGAGGCTTTGAATCAGCTTAAGAGTTATTTGTTGCGTGCTCAACAACAAATGAAGAAGTATGCAGATACAAAGAGAAGAGATGTACAATTTGATGTCGGTGAATGGGTGTTTTTGAAGCTTAGACCTCACAGACAGCAGTCAGTGATCAAGAGGATTAATCAAAAGCTAGTTGCTCGTTATTATGGTCCTTTCAAAATTGTGGACAAGGTGGGAGCTGTAGCATACAAGTTGCAATTACCTGACACTTCCAGAATTCATCCAGTTTTTCATGTTTCATTGCTAAAAAAAGGCTATAGGTGAATATCAGGCTCAAGGGGCACTACCTACAGAATTAGAGGTCGCACTTGATGATGACTTTTATCCAGAAAAGGTGTTAGGCTCTAGAATTAATGTGTTGAGAGGTGTTTCTATTCCTCAAAGTTTAATTCAGTGGAAGAACAAACATGTTGATGATGTCACATGGGAAGACAATGCTTATCTTAAGGGGCAGTTTCCAAATTTTAGCCTTGAGGACAAGGTTGTTGTGAAGGACCGAGGTGTTGATAGAGACTTAGGTGAAGAAGTTGGGCTTGACTTTGGGCATAAGCCAAAAGTGTGGAGGGTTTATACTAGAAGACGTGCCAAAGGAAGAGAGAGAGAGAGAGAGAGAGAGAGAGAGAGAGAGAGAGAGAGAGAGAGAGAGAGAGAGAGAGAGAGAGAGAGAGAGAGAGAGAGAGAGAGAGAGAGAGAGGAGAGAGAGAGAGAGAGAGAGAGAGAGAGAGAGAGAGAGTTAATCCTATAATTAATGAGTTTGTTTCTATAAAATAGGGAAGGAAGAGAGAGAATAATTAGCTAAGTTTATGACTATAAAATAGAGAGAAAATAAGGTATCTAGGTATTCTATTTTTTGATTTGAGAATCACCGTCTTGGTGAGGGAAGCACTGCGTGCTTAGGGGCTGATAGATATTCTCTATCAGTTTGTTATTTTCATCACTGTTACTTCTTTGTAATTTTTCGTCCGTAATAATACAATTACCATATTCTTTTACTATTCTATTCATATATTCATTGTTCACTCATATATTCATATAAGAACCCATCAATTATTCTGTACTTCAAAGGGACTTTCCCTATTTTGTTCTATATATCAGTTGGTTTTTATAAGAATATAAGAGTGCCCATTTTAAAGGTGTACTCTAGAAGGTCTAGACATGTATATATATAGAAGTATGAGGGGAGACTATGCATTCATTCTCTATTTTTCTGTTAACCATTTGGTTGTAACTGCTTCTGCAATTGTGAAGGAGAATTCCCCTGGATCAATAATACTCATACTTCTTCCTTTTCTCTCAATTTTTCTCTCTATTTATTATCATTGATATAGTTTCTTTAGTCTCCAATTTTTCCTTTCTTGAGAAATTATCTCTTGTATACAAATATGTGAAAGCCATTCACTCTAATCATTCAAGTACGACCAACAGGAGTTCAGCAGGAAAAAAAAAAAAATGATTATCAGAAGTAGACCCTGAGAACAATCTATTCAAATGAAGACTGCTACACAAAGCAGATAGAAAGATGAATTAACAAACCTCCAAACTTATCTGGAACTTCAGGAATTTCTAGAGCAAAACTAAGGTTAAAGAATTCCTTTGATTGATAATTATAAAGATAACCTGCCATGACCTCGCAAAAGAATTTGAGCCATAATTAAATCCTGGATATTCAAATATATGGACGATAAATGCTTAAAGTAGCTTTTGATGGAACAATTATATACACCAGTTAATCCAGACTTCTAAAGAATAGTCAGTCACCTTGACCAGGAGAACTCAATAAACTGTTGATTAAAATTGTATCATATCCTACAAATCTGTTTATGAGTAGTTGTTGCCACCTGGAAATGAAAAAAAAATTCCATTGAAAAATATTTAAATATTACTGTATAACATCAATGAAATGCAGAAAACAACTTCTCTATCAGCAAAACAATTTACACGCATCAGTAACAAAACTACATAAAAGTAGCTCTTCGATGGAGATAACCTGTCACTTTTGGAACCAAAACCAGATAATCTTATGGTAGTCTTTACCTGTTTCCGAAGCAAGAGTGCCAGGCTGATATGCTTACATTCACAGTACGTATATTATGTTGAGCCTTGGCACTTTCGGGTAACAAGAAATACCCCTGCATAATAATATCCCGTGATCAACAATAGAGAAGAGTAGTCTTAAATATGTCACAGAATTGACATAAAGGAAGCTTTAACAAACAGACATAGTCTACTGCAAATATTAAGGATATACTATATTTTGCATAGGGTCAACCATAATCAACTTATAGATTGAATACATAAACAAGATTGATATACCTTTTCCATGGTGTATAGATATGTGGGTTCAGACAACTTTGTTTTCTTTTTAAGCCATTGCACTGAAATTGAACACACAACTTATTGGACAATAATAAAAACAAAATAAGAATATGAGAAAGAGAGTGAAAAGAGGAAGAGAGACAAAAATCACATATTGATTTATATAGGAAAAATACAATGCAAGGCTCGAAAATTTATTATATAAAGCATTCTAGGCTTAAGTATCTAAGACGACAACAAAACATCTACAAATCTTTTATGTTTCATAATGAAATTTTTATCTACATTGTTTCTAAGAATCCAAGAAATCATTGTTAAAGGAAACCATTTTCGCACTACGCAACCATAATCAGCATGTCGATTTTTCCGACCGAGTAACATTGAAAGGGTGAAGGTTGTTTACATTTAGCTCTCTCATATAGAAATAAATCAAAGCGAACATACATAACTTCGTAACACGGCCTTGTAAAGATAAAGGAAACATTTCCTTGTGCCTTGTGTCTTTTGTATTTCATATTTATATTTTATTCCAATAAGCAGGTAAAATTCAAAACTACCAAAAAAACTTGAACTTTAAGGAACAAACCAGCTATATAAACCCAAATTCTGTTGAGGAAAAAGCAGACAAACAGTAATTGTAGAATTGAACAAAACCGAACACAGCATGTCTTCGTTTCTCTTCATATATAAAGTTCAAATAATACAGATCTTAAAATATTTTAATAATTAAAAGTACCACTTGGGCACGCATTATGATTCAAACTCAAGTGGGAAATATTGTAATTACCTGCATTAGAGTTAACCTTGTCCAAATGAAGAATACGCATCCATTTGGGAATATCAAGATTGAGGTGTACACCAGTAATATCCTACACTTGAAAATTGAAGTTTAGCAAAAATTTGAGTAAATTTGTACATATCAAGGCTAAAAATAAGCAGAATGCATCATAATAGTCGGTATATGGTCTAATCTAGTTCAAATAAACTACACATTTCTACTTACCCACAGCTTCTGGAAACTTCCAATTATCTGTTTTGTGTGTCTCCAAATGAATGAGATTCGCCTATACCACTTTTTACCAAAATGTATAATTGCCCCTTTTAGTGTCTCTTTGGCTGATAAGGTAAAACTACTTCGTGGCTCCTCTTTATCAATTTTGATGACGGCATCTTCAACCACTGGCCTGGGGTTTTGGTTGCTTGTAGAGGTCTCAGCTTGATGTTCAAGAAATTCACTTTCAGTCTTCCAAAACTTGAATGCCAAATTTCCCTTCCTAGCACCTGAACCAATCCAGTTCCACAAAAACTTGGAACCTAAAAATGTCGAATCATCTTGATTGACTTCAGAAACCTCTGTGCTATCTTTTAGAGCTTCTACTTCAGGAAGATCTATTATGTTGGATTCGGAATCGTTGTGTGACCACAAACCAGCACTGGTTATCTACAACAATGGTCATCAGACAACCAACGAAACATAAATAAAAGATCTCACAATAAACCCTAAATTGAATGAATGTAGATTTAAAGAACATACCTTAATCTGAATAAGCTGTGCTTCTAATTTCAGTACTTGAGATAGCTCACCTGAACAACCAGGCTTCACATAGAGAAACATGAATCATAAAAGCAGAGAGAAATTTGAAGAAAAACAATTGAAGTAGTTTCAACAAATTCAAGCAGAAAAGAGTGGATAAATTATGAAGTAGACACAATTCAAAATGAATGAGGAAAGTAAATGAATAATTCACTAAATCTAAAAACCCTAACAACAGAAATCAAAGAGTTGAAATAGAGAAAACGAAATGCAAAAAGTGAAACCTGTTGAACGTAATTGGCGTGCATAACAACAAGAATACAGAACAAAGTGATGGCTATGAATAGATATAAATACTCCAAAGTCACTCTCACTTTCGGAGTTAGCATCTGCGAGAATCTCTCCTGAACACGTATGAAGGTCTGTTCTGGATCCATTTGGAACAACAAATTCAAAATTATTTACTCCACAAACAGATGGAAAATTATAGCTTTTCTTTTCAGAGACTCGTCTTGATAACGATCATCGTCTTTGGCTTTTTTTTATTATGGTCTTCGCGTTTTAAATTATTTTTAACTTAGTACTACTACTATTTACTAGACTCTCTATTTTTTTTTTATTTCTTTTCTTTTTTACATCTTTGTATAGTCATACTCCATCTCGCTATATATAAACTACCTAAGTTTTTCAAAAGACGAATTTCTCAAAATGCTTTATTTTTAAAATATATTTTCGGATGTACTAAATTCAAATTTTTTTTAAAATAAAATTTAGAGATGTACAATCGAAATTAAGTTAAAGGTATTTTAGAGATATATCTTCGAATACATTTTTTTTAATTCAAAAAACTAGTTCGGAGATCCATCTCTGAATTAGGTAACCATATTTAAAGGTCGCGACAAACCTTCCCTCTTCACATTCTTCATTTTTTCAGAAAAACAAAAGTTTCCCTCAACTCATTTTCAGTACACACTCAATATCAAATTTTGAAACTATATTCATGTGTTTTTTACCATTTCCAACTCTATCTACCTAGTGCATTCAACATTAGAGTATTCTACACCATCACCTAGACATTTAAGAGTAAGTTTTTCATTTAGCTTATTTTGATTTTTAATTAATGTAATAGCTCAAACGTAGCAGTTTTGAGAAATTATATAGCTCAAATGGGTTAGTGTACAAGTTTGAACACTCTATTTATACGATTTGGATGAGTTTGGTTGGGTTTAGATAAGTTAGGACAATTGTAGAAATGATTCTGCCATTGAAGCAATCGAAGCTTTTTTTCGGATATGCATCTCCGAACTCGTTCCTTCCTCTTATTTTGTGTTATGTTTTTATTTCAGGATGACTGCAAACCAAAAAAGGTTGAGACTTAGGCGACCCACCTTAACTGCCTATATTCGTCTCGAGAGGGCTCATCAGCACGAGCAAGATAGAGTCGCCCCTCAGTTTCACGATAGGGAGGCGTCGGGCTCTAGGAGTAGTCAACTATCATGGAGATCGGGATCCCATAGTGGTGCGTACCATGATGAGGATGACCCAGTTGCCCTAATTACACCTCAGGTGCGGCTTGTTGAGGATGCCCCCCTGTAGATCCATTTCCAATAGGGTCCATTGACACGCCTTTATTCATATACTTTGGAGAGCACGTGGCTCCGCATGTCTGGGAAGGAGAAGTAAATTTATGAATTACCTCTATTTTTTATTTTGTGTCCAAATTCAACTCAATTGATCATGTTATATTTTATTTTAAACAGTAGCATTATTGTATCAAAAGTGTGAATCAAGCAAGAAAGATTCACGGTCTTTACCAACCCGAGGAAGCCTGGTTCCAAAATATGCTCCAAAACTCTGGGTTTGCCAGTCTTTGTGCTACAGGGTACACCAACATCATCTATGGTATACAGGTTGCATTTGCTGACATATGGCACAGTGAGACCTCATCTTTTCACCTCTCCATTGGTGAGATGACTATTACGCCAGATGATGTAGCATGCCTCATACACTTTCCCATCAGAGAAAGGTTGCTTGATCATTTTAAGATCAGCATAATTGAGGCATAACAGTTGTGCTTGATTTTTGGAAAAGTACCAAGTTGAGATGTGAGGTTAATGGTCACTAGTAATTATGAATGAAATTTGCTTTTCAATGCTATTTGCTTTGGTTTTTTGCCATGATTTTGTTAGGAATCAAACCATGGATTTAACTGCTTTTGAGAAATGATTTTGTGTTGAAAAGAATCGCTTTTGAATGGTGTAAACATATGAATCAAATTCTGATTTTTTTTGTGCATGAACCAAAGTTGGAAAGTGTTGAAAAACAAGTCTTGAAGTGCAGAATTTTGTGAAGTAGTGCATAATTTTTCATGATTTTTCCATAGCATTTTGATGATTTTAATCCATGGTATACAGGTTGCATTTGCTGACATGTGGCACAGTGAGACCTTATCTTTCCACCTCTTTATTGATGAGAGGACTATTATGCCAGATGATGTAGCATGCCTGTTTACCGTGGTTTTTGATAAACAACCGTTGATCCTCCAAAAAAGGAAAATCCTTTTGGTTACTCGCGGGATCGATCAGATTGATCCCAGAACATATGCTAATTTGTATGTTGGTTTGATGTGAAAGTGAATATATAGGAGGAACGCACGTTCGACCAAGGATATTGTGTGTTTTATGGTTTTGGAAAGTAAGAAAGTAACTAGAAGTGCAAGTAAAGATGTAGAAATGTAAACTTTGCAAAAGAAGTTCAAAACAATGTAAAAAGACTTTTTTAATAAAAAATGGTGTTTCCAACGTACATTCTCAGTTATTCTTTCACACACAGCGGGTACTTGAATAATATTGAGTAACTAGCACAATAGGTTGAACACACGGAAACTCTACACAAACTTCCTAGTTTTATACTAAAATTATGTAATTGTCGAGGGTGGCTTTGCTTCAAGGATGAAGACAAGTGTCTTCTGCATATCCCTCGACCTCTATCCTCCTGCCACGTCGCTTTCTCTTAACTGATGGCGAACTGTATTTCCCTCCAAACTTCAAATTCAAATATCCTCCGCATTTGGTGCTGACACGAAGGTTTGATCTTCTAGTCGAAGGCCACAGGACCTTTCCTGTCGAAGGCTTGATGGTGATGTCTGGTCGAAGACAAATTTGTAACTCAGATATTTCCTCTAAGTTTTTTCCATCCGTCGAAGCATTTTCCAGCTTGGCAAACATAACAACAAGAATACAGAACAAAGTGATGGCTATGAATAGATATAAATACTCCAAAGTCACTCTCACTTTCGGAGTTAGCATCTACGAGAATCTCTCCTGAACAAGTATGAAGGTCTGTTCTGGATACATTTGGAATAACAAATTCAAAATAATTTACTCCACAAACAGATGGAAAATTATAGGTTTTCTTTTCAGAGACTCGTGTTGATAACTATCATCGTATTTGGGTTTTTTTTATTATGGTCTTCGCGTTTAAAATTATTTTTAAAGTTAGTAGTACTACTATTTACTAGACTCTCAATTTATTTTTTTATTTGTTTTCTTTTTTACATCTTTGTATAGTCATACTCCATCTCTCTATATATAAACTACGTAAGTTTTTCAAAATGCTTTTCTTAAACGAATTTCTCAAAATGCTTTATTTTTAAAATATATTTTCGGATGCACTAAATTCAATTATTTTTTAAATAAAATTTAAAGATGTACAATCGAAATTAAGTTAAAGGTATTTTAGAGATATATCTTCGAATATATTTTTTTTAATTCAAAAAACTAGTTCGGAGATACATCTCTGAATTAGGTGACCATATTTAAAGGTCGCGACAAACCTTCCCTCTTCACATTCTTCATTTTTTCAGAAAAACAAAAGTTTCCCTCAACTCATTTTCAGTGAACACTCAAGATCAAATTTTGAAACTACGTTCATGTGTTTTTTAACATTTCCAACTCCATCTACCTAGTGCATTCAACATTAGAGTACTCTACACCATCACCTAGACATTTAAGAGTAAGTTTTTCATTTAGCCTATTTTGATATTTTATTAATGTAATAGCTCAAACGTACCAGTTTTGAGAAATTATATAGCTCAAATGGGTGAGTGTACAAGTTTGAACACTCTATTTATAAGATTTGGATGAGTTTGGTTGGGTTTAGGTAAGTTAGGGCAATTGTAGAAACGATTCTGCCATTGAAGCAATTGAAGCTTTTTTTTGGATATGCATGTCCGAACTCGTTCCTTCCTCTTATTTTGTGTTATGTTTTTTTTCAGGATGAATGCAAACCAAAAAAGGTTGAGACTTAGGCGACCCACCTTAACTGCCTATATTCGTCTCGAGAGGGCTCGTCAGCACGAGCAAGATAGAGTCGCCCCTCAATTTCACGATAGGGAGGCGTCGGGCTCTAGGAGTAGTCAACTATCATGGAGATCGGGATCCCATAGTGGTGCGTACCATGATGAGGATGACCCAGTTTCCCTAATTACACCTCAGGTGCGGCTTGTTGAGGATGCCCCCCTACAGATCTGTTTCCAATAGGCCCCATTGACACACCTTTATTCATATACTTTGGAAAGCACGTGGCTCCGCATGTCTGGGAAGGAGAAGTAAATTTATGAATTACCTCTATTTTTTATTTTGTGTCCAAATTCAACTCAATTTATCATGTTATATTTTATTTTAAACAGTAGCATTATTGTATCAAAAGTGTGAATCATGCAAGAAAGATTCACGGTCTTTACCAACCCGAGGAAGCCTGGTTGCAAAATATGCTCCAAAAAAAACTTTGGGTTTTCCAGTCTTTATGCTACAGGGTACACCAACATCATCTATGGTATACAGGTTGCATTTGCTGACATATGGCACAGTTAGACCTCATCTTTTCACCTCTCCATTGGTGAGATGACTTTTAGCCAGATGATGTAGCATGCCTCATACACTTTCCCATCAGAGAAAGGTTGCTTGATCATTTTAAGATCAACATAACTGAGGCATAACAGTTGTGCTTGATTTTTGGAAAAGTACCAAGTTGAGATGTGAGGTTAATGGCCACTAGTAATTATGAATGAAATTTGCTTTTCAATGCTATTTGCTTTGGTTTTTTGCCGCTTTTGCAATGATTTTTTTATGAATTAAACCATGGATTTAACTGCTTTTGAGAAATGATTTTGTGTTGAAAAGAATCACTTTTGAATGGTGTAAACATATGAATCAAATTCTGATTTTTTTTATGCATGAACCAAAGTTGGAAAGTGTTGAAAAACAAGTCTTGAAGTGCAGAATTTTGTGAAGTAATGCATAATTTTTCATGATTTTTCCATAGCATTTTGATGATTTTAATCCATGGTATACAGATTGCATTTGCTGACATGTGGCACAGTGAGACCTTGTCTTTCCACCTCTCTATTGATGAGATGACTATTATGCCAGATGAT